TAGGCACTATTGTAGAATCATTCATTTAAGAAAAAAAAACACACACACAAAAAAACTGTTCTTTTCAGCTCATACAATAATTAAGATGAACTAAAAGTGTTCTGTACTGTACCTAGAAAAATATTTTGTATGCATTAATGTAATATTTTCTAGAAATTTCCCATGATAGATCAAACAATAGAGGAAGACTTTGCTGTTTATATGTAGCATAGACTTTTAAATTTATACATGTGTATGTGTTTTAAGTAAATTTGGAGCCAAAACTGTTTTGGCTCAGTGGATAGAGTGTCAACCTGCAAACTGAAAGGTCCCAGGTTTGATTCCAGTCAAGGGCATGTACCGTGGTTGCAGGCACGTCCCCAGTGGAGGTGTGCAGGAGGCAGCTGGTCAATGTATCTCTTATTGATGTTTCTAACTCTCGTCCCTCTCTCTTCCTCTCTGTAAAAAATCAATAAAATATATTTTTTAAAAAGTAAATTTGGAAATCAGCAAAACATAATCAGTTATAAAATAAAGTTCTCTCCCCCCAAATTCATATTTGAGCAATATTCATGGTGAGAAAGAATTTATTTAAAAGCAAATATTTGAGAAATATTCATCTTAATTGTATGATAATTAATTTGTCAACTCAGTGCTTGTCAATGCCAGTCTAGAAGTGAAAGATACAGTTTCAACTTATAGTGCTCATACCTAGTGAGGAAGGAAGATATATTAACAAGTCAGTGTGATAAGTGACATGATACAGGTGACCTTAGGGGTCTCCAGGAGGACTGAGAACAGGCACCTAGTGTAGATTGCAAGCAGAGGAGGTGAGCTGGGCTGAGCTGGGCTGGATAGCCATAGAGTAGTCAACTAGGAGGACACGGTCAGGAGAGAGGTTTGGGAGGGCAGACAGAGATAACAGGATGTGCAAAATAAGTTTGAGCAGCTAGTTTCTTCCTCAAGTTGTCTACTCTCAAAAGAAATAGGACTATCATAAATTTGAATTTTGTCAGTTAAGATATTGCTCAACAATAGGAAAGTCGTTTCAAAATTGATTTCCTTTTCATACACTTTGCAAAGTCAGGAGTAGAAAAATGATGAAGAAAGATTGCTTTACTCAATTGCCTTTGCTGCAACTCGGGAAAATCTTCAAAGCCTTTGACCCAGTGTGGTTCATATATATGGGAAACACTTTCTTTAACAGTCAGCATTCTCTTCAACAGTCAGCATTTTCTTCAACAGGAGATGTTGGGTTACATTTTTATAAAATCTCATCTCTTTGTATCAACAAATCCTATTCTTTGAGCCTCACTATGCATTCCTACTTCTTCTGCTTTTCTGTGTCAAATTAGGAAAATGGAACAAAAGCTTCAATATTAGGAACATTATTTTTTACTTATTTACAAGTAGTATCTTCCTTATAGATGTAGTAAGAAGGATCTGGGCAAGTATAAGAAGAATAATTTCAGTACTCCTCTCAAATTTAATCTTGTATTGACAAGCCACTTATTTTATCTGTGAATGCTCAATTCATAAAGCTATTAAACTTTAATGGTGCCATGCCAGCATGGCTCTGTGATTGAGCATTGACCTATGAATAAGGAGGTCATGGTTCAATTCCTGGTCAGGGAACATGCCTGGATTGTGGGCTCCATCCCCAGTGCAGGAGGCACTCTCTCTCTTTCTCTCTCTCTCTCTCTCTCTCTCTCTCTCTCTCTCTCTCTCTCTCTCTCTCTCCCTCTCTCTCTCTCTCCTCTCTCTCTGAAATCAATATATATATAAAACTTTATTTTTAAATATATTTTATTGATTTCTTTACAGAGAGGAAGGAAGGGAGAGGAATAGAGAGTTAGAAACATCGATGAGAGAGAAACTTCGATCAGCTGCCTCTTGCACACCCCCTAATGGGGATGTGCCCGCAACCAAGGTACGTGCCCTTGACTGGAACCGAACCTTTCAGTCCCAGTCCTCAGGCCAACACTAGCTCTATACAATGAGCAAAGGGCACATACCTTGGTTGCGGGCACATCCCCAGTAGCAGGTGTGCAGGAGGCAGCTGATCGATGTTTCTCTCTTATCGATGTTTCTAACTTTCTATCCGTCTTTCTTCCTCTCTGTAAAAAAATCAATAAAATATATTTTAAAACAAACAAAAAAAACTTTAATGGTAATTCATAATGAATTTCTGTTGCCAAATTCCCATTTTAGTTCAAATAACTACAAGAAAATAAGAAATACAAATTTCTTTTTTTAAAATATATTTTATTGATTTTTTTTTTTTTTACAGAGAGGAAGGGAGAGAGATAGAGAGCTAGAAACATCGATGAGAGAGAAACATCGACCAGCTGCCTCCTGCACACACCCTACTGGGGATGTGCCTGCAACCAATGTACATGCCCTTGACCAGAATCAAACCTGGGACCTTTCAGTCGCAGACTGATGCTCTACCACTGAGCGAAACTGGTTTCGACCAAATTTCTTGTTTTATGTTTCAATTTCCCTTCATATTCAATCCATAAGAGCAAAAAGGTTGTACATATTTAGTATAGCTGAGTTATTAATGGAAACAGTCACTTCTCTTTTTTGTTGACATTTATTTTTTGTACATATTGTTCTTTTCTAAATCATCATCTTGCATTAGTTCCTCAATATACTATAAACTTAGTCATCTAGACCCTCAGAAAAAAATTGACTTTATTCAAATTAAAGCTAATAAAAGAAATAGCAATTTTTGAAGTCTCAGTCCACAAGCAGGAGAAAATTTAGGTAACAGTATAAAGAAAAATAGTTTCAGACTGGACGTGTTGACATGGGTTCAGTATCTGTTTCTATCACTTTTTACCTTGGACAAATTAATTAACTCTAGTGACCTTCACTTTCCTTTTCTATAAAATGTGTTTGATAGTATCTGCCCCTTTACCCACCTACTTACCTACCTGACTAATCAGAGATTAGCATTTAAGTATGTAAAGGAGTCTTGAAGCTAAATGCATTTTACAAATTCTAGTTGTTATGGCAAAGACAATCAGTGAACAAAATATTCTTAAAGTGAGAGGCACTGCATATATGAAACTATATTTTATACAAAGTTACTTAGTACAGATCAATGCATAACAGGCTTTCATTCTCTCAGCTTTCCTTTCAAGTTTGTTTATTTCCCATTTGTTCCCATTGACTGTTAGACTTTTCTGCTTTTCTGCATGTGTTGGTATTCGCTGATGTCTGATTGTTCCTCCTGCACGCACAAGCCCAAAGGGGTAGTCAGTTCGCAGCCAACTTCAGGAGACTATGTCTTACTTTGGACATTTAGTCAGATGCATATTCTGATTTTAAATTTCTGTGTGGTTAGAGCACACATACGTGGAATTTAGTTTTACAGACTATAATAACTTTGGTAAATTTATAGAGTGGAATTTATAGCAGTGCCAATGTTTTTCAGTTTTATGAATGACAACAAGTATCATGTTTGTCTTATAAACAACTTTAATTCATCATTATTATTTCTGTCTTCTCACAAAATAATATTTAGCAATTATCTTCAAGTTTTATAATAATAAGTAGAGGCCCAATGCATGAGATTATGTGTGGTTAGGGTCCCCAGGCCTAGCCTGCGATCAGGGCCATGTTCTTCCTGTTCACCAGTCCCCAATTCCACCCCACCGCCACTGATCAATTAGAGTCTGAGGGCTGGAGGAGGGACCAAGAGGTCTGCCTTCCACCAGCTTGCCAGTTCTCGCCAGGCCAGGCCACTCACCTCAGTAGCCTCATTAACCATCCCCTGATCAATCGTAGCCTAAGGGCTGGGGGAGGGACCAAGAAGTCCTTTGCCCACTTGCTATTGTAGTTTCTGCTGCCACCCACTTATCAGAGTCTGGCTGCCCTGATGAGGTGTTGGGGTCAATCCAGCCTGGATCTGGGCAAGTCGCTGGCTGCAGTGGGTGTCCTAGCAACCAGTCATTAGATCATGATGGCCATTAGAGTTGTGATGGTGTTATGGTCTCTGGCTTTTTATATGGAGAAATCGTACTAAGTGTATTAAGTATACACCACATGCCAACCCTTTAAAGAAATAAAATCATTTAATCTTCACAACACTTCAGGTATGTGTTATTTCCCCCTCATTTTACAGATGGTAAAATTAAGCCATGGAGAAGATGTCAGGAGGCAGGATACCATCACAGTTAAACATGCACACCCCTTTTTCAGAAAGACTGGGTTAATTCTCATTCATTTATTATTACCTGTACATCCTTAGACAAATCACTTACCCTTTTTTGTGTGGTAGTTTTCCTGTCTGTAAAATGCTGAAATGATAACACAAACTCTCTAAGGTGAGAATTAAACACTGTCTTTCCTCAGAATGGCATTTTAGATTCTCTTAACCGTACGTTCAAAAATCTGCCCACATATTTAGTGTTCATTTTCTTTTTTTCCATTATCAGTGATATTTTTAATGAGACCATCCTCTCAGAAAATACAAAGTACTATTTGATGATTTAATACCTTACATTTTGGCATTTAGTAAACGTGGAATCCAAAGACAGGCTCCAACATTTTAATTCTTGGAGCCTCCGATCCTTTAGTCTCTCAATGAGAAAGTAATTTCAAGTGAAACCCATATTTATTTCATTTTGGTTAAAACTATAACAAGTGCCCGTTAGCACTCTGCAGGTATTAAGCCCCAAGTGGCATGCTTACATGATACACATTCCTTTTTATTATATTGCCACTTGGCTTAAATGTTCACTTCTTTTTCCCATTATTAAATGCAGTTACCAGCTAAAAATATAACATAAAGTTATTTTATTGCTAAAGCTATTAAATTGTCTTAGTTTGAAGTCTGGAACAACTTTATTGAAATCCTAAAAATAAGAACAATAAAATGTTGCATGTTATTTTCGCTTTTGAGAAGATCATTGAGACAATGATAATGGATCAATATTGATTGTGCTTCTGGAAAATGATTTTTTTTATATCAAAAGCCCTATAATTCAGCCTGCTCTCCTCTCTCTTGCCAGGCACCAGTATCTTCACAGTCTACGAGGCCGCCTCCCAGGAGGGCTGGGTGTTCCTCATGTACAGAGCAATTGACAGCTTTCCCCGCTGGCGTTCCTACTTCTATTTCATCACTCTCATATTCTTCCTTGCGTGGCTTGTGAAGGTACTGTAACAATGTGTCTGTTTCCTAACAATAAAACCTGCGTTTTCTGACAGCTTCTGCAGATCTTTTGTTTTAGATTGAGATTGCCCTCTCTCATTCCCAATCTTTGGTAAACGTGGTTTGTACTTTTCTTTCAGAATGTGTTTATCGCTGTCATCATCGAAACGTTTGCAGAAATCAGGGTACAGTTTCAGCAAATGTGGGGATCGAGAAGCAGTACTACTTCGACAGCCACCACCCAGGTAGGTACAGTATCAGGTGATGATGTCACAACTCATTTAAACAGAGACATTTCTATCTTCACCATCAATGGAACTTGTTGGAACTTGAGGGAGCCCTGTCACAATGGCCTTCTGCAATCAGACTCACTGAGGGACTTATTAAAAAAAAATAGAAGTGCAAGGACCCAAACCCTGAACAACCAATTGGGCCTTCTGAGTGATTTGGGCAATAGCACCTATACTTTTATCAGCTCCCTGAGTTGTTTTGATACAAAACTAGATGGCCATCACACTTTGTATGTACTTTTGATTTGATTCTGCCATCATTGGTCCTTAAAGAGTTTACAAATAAAACATGGAAACTGTGTAAGTTCCCATTTTTATAAATGTTTATTCATATATAAACAATATTGAAAACCAATACAATGGCACTTGTGTATAGAATTAGAATTTTTGGAAAATATATTTCATTCAGAATGAACCAATCACAGTATAACAAATTATGAAGGCCACTCAACCCCAAATGTATGCCTATGATTTTTGACAAATCACTACATATTTGGAAGGCTTCCTTATGTTCCCAAGAAGTGAAGTGCCTTAGAATTTGACAAAAAGTAGCAGGGCAGTTGTTACATGAGAGGGCAATTCAGATTCAATGACTTTGTTTTTGGCTTCGCTTTGTGTGTTTGTATTATGTTGCATGTGTGTGTGTTTAGAAAGAGAAAGGACAGGTTTATATACTATCTTCTTCTAGTATGAATCTTTATAAAAGAGAGAGAAAATAAAAATTTATGAATTGAGAATGAAATTATTTTAATGCCGTAACTATTTTTTATAAGTTTGTAAATACTTTTACATGTCTATTGGTACAAATGTATTCGTGAAAGATCCAAGGTACACACTTAATTTTGAAAAGCTTCAAATTATTCTTCTAATAAATATATGCTAATGCTATTAAACATGCTAATATTTGGGAAAGCCTTTGTGCAGCATCTTTATGATGCTGTGAAAGTTTGAATTGTCTAGCCATTTCATTATAAATGAAATAGTAGTAATACTATTCAGTTTTGACAAACAACTATTCAGATTTCCATGAAAGATTTTTAAAACATTATCAGGGCTCTTTCACAGATGACCCTCCAAAGAGTAATTGTGCAGAGCAATTGACATCTAGTTCCTTTTCTTCTCTCATCTCTTTTAGTAAGCTATGAGAAATAATAAAGTTCCACGTTTATTCTGACAACCTCTCAAAGGTGTTTTCTGCTATATATATGAAGAGAAAGATAGATGGATGGATGGATGGATAGATAGATAGATAGATAGATAGATAGATAGATAGATAGAACTTAATGGATCATAGAACTATGAGCTCAGCACAGAACTTACATCAGTGTTCCTGAGAGAAGACCTAACATGGTCTAACATGCTTATTAAGTGAATCTTATTTATAAAACCACAGCTGGAAAAGTAGTGTTTGGAAGTGCCACCAAATTAGCCAGCAGTTATCACAGAAAGTGAAATGTGAAGAGACTGCCGGCAGAGTTGTCCAACGTTGTTTTGATGCAAAATTGTACATAATCTGGAGGAAGAAGCTGGTAATTCAGAGTTCTGTCAGATGTGCATCTTGGTATTCAGTTAAGGTAATCACACAGAGAACTGTGAAAAACCTTCATTAAGAAAAATGCTGTGGCTGAGGACCTGGTTGCTAAGCAACTGATGAAGCTCCTGCAGCAGCCTTTGGTGCAATACCATTTGGGCTGCCTGGAAACAGGCCCCGCCCCTCCTCGCCCCACCCAGTCAGTTTGCAAGTGGCCCAGACTGGGCTTTGTGTGTGTGAAGGAGAGACATCATTTGCCATGATTCTGTCACACTTGTAAAATCTGACAGAACTCTGTGTACAAGAAGCTCTCATTTAATGGTTTAAAACAACGAATCTCAAGTTTTAAATCTAATAAAACAGATAAAGTTTAAGAAAAGAAAATAAAGACAGTTGTATTGTAAAGCACACAGCTGTTCAGAAATGAAGGCAGTTCTTGCCTTTTTGACGTATTTGGAACACTTGCTGCTTTTCTATATATTATTCTCATGGAAGGGCTAATAGGGTCCAGAGCTTGATGCACCTATGATATTTAAGTCTACAGATTTTCCCAGGGGGCTTTGTGTATAAAAAAAAATTATACACATCAACAGGATAAGGAAGGATCTTTCTGACATCTTAGGTGGTGCAATAGGAATTTGCTCTGATGTGGACTGTTCTGAGACTAAAGAGAATCTTGTGTTGTTTTTAAGTAAGAAGAGGCAACCTGCCTCAGAGTCACAGTATAAGAACAAACTACAGAAAAATTAATGCTAGAGGTCTTATGGAGGCCATAAATACAAAATGTAACAGAAAAACAAAAGAGAAATGATGTGGACATTTTCAGGTTGGTAATCATTAATTTGCCTAAACTCTCGTGGGGATGGTGACATTTTATACCTGCATAATTATCAGACATGGGTCACTGTGGCCACATGTTCAGTTGTATGTTGGGTTAAAGTGCAAGAGATTCATACAGCCATGATATTTAGCCCTGTGTCCCTCAACAACGAGATTACTACCTATGCCACAAGTTTCTAAGGATCTCTCTCTTTCTCTTCCTCTCTCTCTAAAAATCAATTAAAATGTCCAAAGAACTTGAATGCATATATGCATAGCCCGTGGACACATACAGTAGAGTAGTGAAGACCAGGGATAGGGGTGGGGGCAGGAGAAGGGATCAATGAGGAGTAAAAGGGGACATATGTAATATTTTCAACAATAAATATTGTTTAAATCAATGAAAATGTCCTCAGATGAGGATTAAAACAAAGCAAAAAAAATTATTCTGGACATAGCAGTGTCCCTCTCTTCCAGTCCTTTACTCTCATTCCTCAGCTATCTGCTGCTGCAGCCATGTGGACTTCTGATGGAGACTGATTCATTGTAAAGATGAGCTTATCTTACTTTGCTTGGAGTAGAACGAAAAGAACTGCTAAGACTTAGGGTCACACAAGGCTACGTTTTATTGTATAGTGATAAGAGACACAATGTTGATTATTCTGGCAATCAATTCATACCTAAGTTTTATATATGAATCATGGTCAAATAGAGTCATATTATGGGATTGGTAAGTAAATATTCTGATTGTCTAAAGAGAGTCATAATTTCTGGGTCTGTCATGATCTCTGGTTCAGCATGCTTGCTGACCCATGTTTACTGAATTATATGCCCTAATTAGGACATAAGAGCTAAGGACAGAGTTGATGTAGGATCAAAGGACATTTAGGAATTCTTCCTTTGTAGTTCTGTGAACATGTCATTCTTAGAATTTGAGTATCTGCAATACCTAAACAACTTCTGTATGAATATGCAGTGCTGGGTTATAGTAGAAATGTGTATATGAAAAAACATCCAATCAAAAATGGAAAGAATTTAATCTCCAAAAAATACTGTGTGCAACATTATGCTGAATGACAATACTTGAGTAAATATTTGTTTACTGTATTCCAAAACCATTGTTTTACACATGTTTATACATCTTTAAAATAAGTGAGAAAGTAATTTAATCAAAGCAGCTTCTGGGAAGGTCTATTCTAGCATGACACAACAGTGGTCCTAATAAGAACCTGTGGCAATGGAATAATATACTCATCATATCTGAGAATTACATTTTGTAAAGCTGAAGTCATTGAATATTATTATTTGATAGTGAAATCAAGTGTACCAGCTAATTATTTTGTGTTATATGAATGATTGCCTATTAAAAACCACAACTGATCTTGAAAGAATCCAAAAAGCATAAGAATTTCAAAATACATTTTAGATTTTTCTCTGCATTAATGTATATTTGTATGTGTGTGTGTGTGTGCACATGCTACAAAGGATAGAAAGCTCCAAGTAGTTATGAAAAACTAGAGGTCCAGTGCACAAAATTCATGCATGGGTAGTGTCCCTGGACCTGGCTGGCAATCAGGGCAGATCAGGCCTTCTGGCTGCTGGCTGGGCCTTCCTTCATTCTGCGTCTCCCCCTGGTGGTCTGTGCAGTCATAGTGAGCAATTGAACTCCCGGTCTCCTGGTTAAACTCCCAAGAGGACACTTTGCATATTAGGCTTTTATATATAAAGAATATTTCTCTCTCATGTAAAGTTGGAAGAGGTCATTTGGAGTTGGTGTGGTAGTCTCCATTGCCACATATCCTAATGCCTTGTACTTTTTGCTGCACTATGCATAGTCTCCATTCCCAAAGCTGCCTCATAGACTGAGTTGGCTGCTATATCTTTAACACTCACATCCACATTCCAAAAAGCTGGAAGGAAAAAAAAGTAGAAAGAACATTTCTTCTTACATCTCATGGGCTAGTATGTAATTACATGGTTAAGATAAGTTCCAAAAAAGGAAACCTTTTATCATGTGTGTGTGTCTTAGTGGTCTCATAAAATTTTTCTTATTTTGGAAGACAGAGAAAAGAGAGACGGAGAGACAGCAGGCATCCCCTGTCCCTTTACCCTAGGAACTTGAGTCCTTAAGGATTCCTTTTTTCAGATATCCCATCATCTGTGTCACAGAGCTAAATGTTGTTTCTTAACCTGGGGGCTTTGAGAAAAATGGAACATATTTGTATTTCCTTCACTTTATTTCATACAAAGAAGTGACCCTGAGAGAACACTTTTACAAAAATTAAATAGATTCGTTTGATTTTGGTCCACTGGAAAAGAAATAATTTAACAGAGAAAATTGGTCTGCTACTGATCAAAGCAAATGCATGCCCCAGGAATCCTTTGTGCCATGACGAGAGAGTACAGGCTGCATGTACAGAGGGGCTTTAGCTGGTAACTGACAGGACTGCTTTTATCCTTTCCTTTTGTCTTTTGTCTTTTTCTCCTTAAAAAGAGACTCCCCGAATTTTGACAGGAACTTTAAAAGGCGCTTTGATAGGTTTGCATTTCAGCCAATGTATGTATTCTGAAATGAGCCTGTTCATAAGGGATGTGTTTAATTCTACCACTAAGAATGCCTTTTAAAATTAATTCTGAAGTGAGGAAATTCATTTAACGTGCATCTCAGTCACAGCATAGAAACAAATTACAGGGAAATAAATGCCAGAGGTTTTATGGAGGCCATTATAGAGATAGAAGCAGGAAAACTAATGGTAATGGGGTTTTTGTTGTCATCTCATATTTCCATCAACAATTCCCCTTTTGGACACAGAGTCAGATTAACATGAGGACATAGTATTGCTAAGACGTCTACTTATGTGTATGAAACAGCAATTTTGGGCAGGAATAAAACAGTGAGTGTTTGTACTGTCTTTTCTTAGAAAAATAAAAATCCTGAATTTCACATTATCCCCTACCACCCCAACACACACACATGCACGTGCACACACTAACACATATGCACACACACAAACACACACACTCAGACACACCCCTAAGAAATTGAAAGTGGGAAATGTCTTCCAGCTGGATGTAATATTGACAGACGACTAATTTTTGAAATAGTAAAATATCCAGTAAGATAATACCCTAGGCATCCACCAACCTAAATATCCAATTCAATTGATGTCAGATTTTAGTATATGATATTAAGTATCCTGTCCTGAATTTCAGCACTTATGTATTGTAAGTCAAAAGAAACTACTGTTTCCCTTTATTTATATGTACATAAAACTTCTACTGAGCAGATTAATTTGGCCTAGTTAAAATAATTTCACAAAGTCCATTAAGCGACACATCAGTCTCCTGTCATTAAAATAACACCAGCCTCTATACCTATGCCATATGTCCAATTCTTATATTATTTATCCTGAGAACATTTTTCTGTTAGCTCACTGAGAGGTGTCCACTAAATAAAGATAAAAATTCACCATTTCTAGTAAAAACACAACAACCACAATACTTTGGAATTCCAATTTTCATTTTCTTCCAAATTCAGTATGTAATAAGAAATATAATGGGGGTAAAATGCCTACTTTAAAGTCTTGTGGAAAAGAATATGTGGACAATTATATATAAAATATATATAGAACAGAAAAGACCTGATACATAATTAGTGCTCAATAATTGCAAGCTATTGCCATTATTCTTTTTTTTTAGTTGCAGTAGATTCTATTTTTTATTTTTTTATAGTTTATCTTTATTGTTGAAAGTATTTCAGATGTACCCCTCCCCATTGTCCCCTTCCTCCTCACTTCCACCCCCTCTTCAGGTCTTCACAACACTATTTCTGTTCCATGGGTTATGCATCTATGCATATAAGCTCTTTGGTAAATTTCTTCCTGCCCCACCCTCCTGCTTTCCCTCTGAGATTCCTCAAGTCTAGTCCATGCTCTGTGTCTTTGGATCTGTTTTATGCTTTGCCTTATTTTGTTCATGAAATTTCACATATAAATGAAATCATGGGATACTTGTCCTTCTCTGGATTATTTTACTTGTGTTACTATTGTTCACTTAAGTTTTCAGTGTTACGATGAACATAATTGAAAAGATTCGGGTTTTAAATATAAATCTCTAAGAAAGAAAATCTTTGATTAAAAAAATATAAGATGTTGGAGATACAAAGTGACAGTTCTCAGTGTTCCTTATTCCATGTCTCTGACTCATCTCCCTCTTTGTCTTTAAGATGTTTCACGAAGATCCTGCTGGCGGATGGCAGCTGGTAGCTGTGGATGTCAACAAGCCCCAGGGCCGCGCCCCAGCCTGCCTCCAGGTGCAATACAATGCCGTTTTTAAAACTCACTGTGACTTTTATTTTACACAAGGAAGCCCATAGCTCTCTAAGCTCTATCTATCCAAATCTGTGGTCCTGGAGTTAGACACAATGTTTTACATCATCCTGTATTGCCAGGACCTACCGGTTTTTAGATACACAGTAGGGATTTGATAGCTATTCAATAAATGCACACAGGAAATAATAATATGCCAGAAGTGTTGAATCAGTGAAAAATGTTGTTGTCATATTAAATCATAAACAATATTTGTATTAATTCTCTATTTTTTCTATAACAATTACCACAAACTTAGTGACTCAAAACAATACAAATGTATTATTTACTAGAGGCCCGGTGCATGGAAATTCATGCACTGGAAAGGGGGGGTGGCCCGTCCCTCAGCCCGGCTTGCCCCCTCTCACAATGCAGGAGCCCTCAGGGGCAGGAAGTGACCTGGCGATCAGGGGAAGGCGATGCTTCCATCACACCTCTGCTGCTGCCACTCTGGTAACCAGCATCATCCAGCCCTAGTTACCTGAGCCTCAGGCAGCCCTGGACAGCTGGGCAGCCACTGTCAGAGGCTTGCCTGCACTTCAGATCCACCCTGAGTGGCTGGGCAGCTACATCCAAGGCTTGCCTGCACCTGGGGCTGGTCCTGGGCAACTAGGGGACTGAGGGTAGGTCTGGCCATACCATGTCCTTCCATTTCCCAACCCCAGCTGGGCTAAAAGGACTGGGGGACACCAGTGGAGCTGAGGGGACTGGGTGCCACCATCTTTTGGCTGTGGGTGCCACCATCTTTGTGACAGCATGGTGGTCAATTTACATATTCCCTCTTTATTAGATAGGATAGTTTAACAGGTCTCAGGTGGGTTTCACTGGTATCAACAGGCTGCACTACTTCTAGAGATTCTAGGGAAAAACTGTTTCCCTGCCTTTTCCAGTTTCTAGAGTCTTCATTTTTAGGCTTCTTGAAAGAGTCTGTGATGGTGTCTTCATAATACCCCCCAAATGGTTGAAAAGCCATCACATAATTTTGTCTTCATGAAGCCAAACTGGTTTAGTTTATTTTTTTATCTTGAATTGGATACAGGGGGGAAGGTAGGCATCCATTTTTGTGATGGTATACCCTAATACGTTACCTAGTATTCTAACCAGTATTTGTTATATTCCATTCAGAGATTACAGAAATTTTTTTAGAGTCATGAGGTTGCAAATTTGTAAAAATAAATAAATAAATAAAAATTGTATAGGTCATCCAGTTTAACCTGCAACCCAAGAAATTTCTACCACAGTGTAGACTCTCAGATTTTAATATGCACATTAATCATTGGGGGCCTTTTTAAGGATGCAGACTTTGATTCAGTAGGTATGGGAGAGGCCTGAGATCCTTGCATTTCCAATATGCTCTCAGGAAACTGATGGTTCAGAATTCAGAGTTTGAGTAGCAAGGCTCCGGAATATTTTTGACAGATATTGCTGCCTTGGGGATGATTCTATTATTGTCTCTTCGTATTTGGTCATTCCAGCCGTCACATACAGAAATCAGTCATTCTCAGATAAAAGCCAAAGTAAACATAAATACAAAACTTCTCGGGTTTAAAAAAAATATCTAAACCAAAATGACATAGCGATGGAAAAGAAATTTAAAAATTTAAATACAAATGCAGGACCCAAAGAGTTTTATACTAAATATCTATATCTATCTATCTATCTATCTACCTATCTATATACACATATATTTATATTTATATATAAACATATATGTACATATATTTATAATACACACATATATATGTAAATATATACTAGTATGTATATATATGTGTGTATATATGAGTTTTTATCTCTATAGAAATTATCTACCCATATTAAATAATATATAGTTTGGAAATTTTCAAGTTATAATATTACTTTGTGGCACTGACTCAACATAAACATTTTCCTTTACATTAATTTTTATAAGAAAATAAAAAATTGAAGGATATGCATTTGGACTGTCCCACAAATACTAATATGAGTCTAAATGTAATGTTGCCAGACCTTCTACATTAAGAAAGCCGATAGCCAGTTTCACATATTGGATGAATTGAATTGAGTTGGAGTGGCCCCTTTCACTAGCAACTTTAAAGCTGGAGTTGCTGGTTTGAATATTTAAATTTAGCTACTGCACATACTTGTCACTTTAACTCTTAACATTTGAGTTATTACTTTGGATAAAGCAAAGCAATGGTGATTCCAGTATATCAAAATCTATTGCAAGAGATTATTTTAATGACTCTGTAGCAAGAGGGACACGTAGACATTCAGACCAAAAAAAGCTAATTATAATGACAGCACCAAAGTGAAGCTGTGACAGTTACAAAACCAATTTTAAAGACTTCTGACAGCCATGTCTAAAAGCTTTGTTTGGACCTTGCAGTAATAACAGTTTACTTAAGACATAAACCCAGAGCTAAGGAAAATAGAAAGAGAAAGTTGTGGCTTTTCTGTCATGCAAATGAAGTGGAAATCAGTTGAAATGAAAGGAGTATAGAAAGGGAATAATAGTTATGGAATTTGATTCTCACGATGCAAGAAAGATTAAGTAACAATGAAAATTCTAATGAGAATAGAAACTTGCCAACTGACTTGCTTATCTATGTTATGAAGGTCAGTAGTTTCTGCAAGTAAATTGACATGCATTTAAATATGTTGATTGGCAGTTCTGGAATTTGATTTTGTATTACCTCTAAAATAAAATCAAAGGCAAATGGACGTAGGAGTGACTCAATAGCCATGGAGACAAAAAACCTTATTAAATGTCTGCTTTTCCAATGGCTCTCTCAAGATATTCGACATTATGACTTTTATTTATCTCGCTTGATTATGAACTCCATCAAATATACAGCATAATTAATTCTTTGATCTTGGCCTATTAATTTTTCACTCCTCACAGAATAGCACTTATTTTTTGCTGCATATCTTTATAAAACACAATATGCAAGCACTATTCTAAGTGCTTTATCAATATTTACTTATTTAAAATGCATGACAACCTTTGGAGTAGCCACTATTTTCTTCACTTTAGTGAAGAGAAAACTCAGTACAGTGAAGCACAGAGAGGCAAACAGAGGTTTAAATGACTGGCCCAGAGGCCCAGAGCTTGTGTGTAGTGAGATGCCACACCATTTTTGTCTTACAGCCCATGCTGTTAATGACCACGTGATATCATGAATGGGGATGCAGAGGCGACGGCACTCAGCGGTAGACATCTTTTTCCCATTACCAGGTTCTGCTTTAGTTAGCTTCTTATAGTCACAAGGACTGAAGAATTCTCAGGTCACCTCCTAGAGGAAGGATATGTGCCCCTAAGTACTGAGAAGAAAGGAGGGATTATGGGGAAAGAGCAGCATGGTGGCGCTGGTCCCCGGAGAAGTGGGCACAGAGGGATGCGATGCCGCGGTTTGCTGTGCTCTTAGCTCCTTTCCACAGATCAGCTTCTCTCGTGCTGCTGCCCAGGGCCTTCTGCCACTATTCTCTCCTTTGGTGTACTCAACCCCACAGCAGGAAGTTTGTCCCAGATTGGATGTTTTAAAAAAAACAAACACATATATTTATATTTTTTAATTAATTTTGACTTTCCTCTACATTGTGTCTCTTATATATACTCATGAATTATACTAAAGATGCCATTAAAATAATAATCATCTTTGCGATATTTTTAGATCACAAAGAATAATTTAACCAAAAAAAAGTGTGCCTTTATCTATCTACCAACTTTTTAAGTATTTTTTTTCAATTACAGTTTACATTCAGTATTACTCTGTATCAGTTTCAGATGTACAGAAAAGTGCTTAGACATCATGTTCTTTACAAAGTGGTCTCCCAATATAATTATTACATAGGTATTATAATTTCTGGCCCCATACATAGTTATTACAATGTTATTGACATATTTCCTGTGCTGTCATGGACTTTAAACAGACTTGGGTACTAGAGCCTGACTCTGTTGTGTACTTGCTCTGTGACCTCATACAAATGACTTAATCTTTCAAGGTCACTGGAAAAAAATGAGCAATATATCATGTAAGGGCTAGGGTGGAGATAAAAGACATGAAATAAGTAACATAATTATAGGATAGCCATAATAAGCATTCAATACATATTATCCTTTATAATAATAGTCATTATTTTGGAGTGGTGAATTGGACTTAGACCAGACTTACGTGAAAAGTATGATTCCACCTGCAATACTTGTGTGAGAGTGAGAAAGTTATTTAACGTCTCTGAGACTCAGTTTCCTTCTCTAAAATTAGAGTAACTTCCTGGTGCTGTTATGGCATTAAATCAGTTAATTTATGTAAATCACCTACAATAGCTGCAGGCACATGGTGAGTATAAATGTAAACATCAGTTATTATTGTAGTATAATTTTTAAAAAAATATTTATATAAAGTATATAAAGTTTCAGTTGTTTGAGATAAATAAATTCTATACAGCATAGTACTCATGGCTACCAATACTTTATTCTTTATTTAGAATTTGCTAAGAGGACATATTTTATGTTAAGTGTTCTCATCAATAATAATGATAATAATAATAATAATAATAATAATAATAAAGGAGGTGGGAGAAAACTTTGGAAGGTGACAGATATGCTTATGGCCTTGATAGTGGTTTCATGGGTGTATATACTTATCCCCAAACTCATTGAATGTATACATTCAGTAGGTATAGCTTTTTTATTTTATGTCATACCTCAATAAAGTGGTTTACACATAAATTATTAAAAATAATAATTTAAATAAATAATTTACAGAAGTAATAAAAAAATAGACCTTAGGTTTCTCCAATTTTTCCAGCTTTATGATTATACCTAAAATGTGTTTTTTAATATATTTTTATTGATTTCAGAGAGGAAGGGAGAGGGAGAGAGATATAGAAACATCAATGATGAGAGAGAATCATTGATTGATTGTCCCCTGCATGCCCCCTACTGAGCCTGCAACCCAAGCATTTGCCCTTGACAGGAATTAAATCTGGGACCCTTCATTCTGCAGGCCAATGCTTTATCCACTGAGCCAAACCAGCTATGGCTATCCAAAATGTTTTTATTGCCCTAACTTGTTTGGTTCAGTAAATAGAGCATTGGCCTACGGATTGAAGGGTCCCAAGTTTGATTGCAGTCAAGGGCATGTACCTTGATTGCCACATATCCTCAGTTAGGGGATATGCAGTAGGCAGCTGGGTGATGTTTCTTTCTCATTGATGTTTCTAACTTTCTATCCCTCTCCCTTCCTCTCTAAAAAAAATCAATAAAATATACTTTTAAATAAAATGTTTTTATCTTCAATAACATTTTCTCTTAACAGAATAAAGCAACAGTTGCTTTGTGATGTTAGCTTTTTAAAAATAATTTCTTCAGATAGTCAGTATTAAGAATAAAGCTACCTAACTCACCAATGAAAATTCAGATATGAGTTATATGCAAGTGAAATGAATATATTTTTTCCATTTTCAACTAAAAGTCTCCAATATTACCTCCTTAGTCATTTTGCACTGCCTGAAGACAAAGATTCCTTCGCTAACACTGTTCAGCAGTGATTGACATCCATCGAGTTGTTATAGAAGCACTGCTCTGCACAGTAGTGTGTCACCAAGATGTTGCATGTCCAGGTTTTGGCACACAGTTATGTTTAATCATAAGGGTTATTTCTTTGTTAACAGTTCCTCTGTTCTGCCTCCTCAGCAAATGATGCGGTCATCAGTTTTCCACATGTTCATCCTGAGCATGGTGACGGTGGATGTGATAGTGGCTGCCAGCAACTATCACAAAGGAGAGAGCTTCCGGAGGCAATATGATGAGTTCTACCTTGCAGAGGTAAGCTGCTCACTGCAGTAAATGTACCTTTTATAAATGTGAAAATTAATCTCCATTTGTTAATTATTTGAGTTCAATCAAAGCTGTTTCTCTAGTGTAGGGGTGTCGAACTCAATCAGAGAAGGGGCCAAAATCTAAAATCCAGCCTAAATCGCGGGCCGAATGGTTTACTGAACAGTTATAAACTGTCATTGTGATGGAAACGCAGCGGAGTGCAGTGATGACAGCGCAGTGCGGGCCACATTGCAAGGCCTGGCGGGACGGATTTGGCCCGCAGGCCTTGTGTTTGACACATGTGCTCTAGTGTTTCCCTTGGTCACTATGTTGCTTCATTTATTTCCTGTCACCATGAGCCTAAATATCTTCCCCACAGTGTGTTGCATCATCAAGGTAACCCTCTGCCCTGGGTGTTTCTCTCACCATCTTGCTGTTTTCTTATCCACCTCTCATATTCTCTCCCTTTTTCATGTTGCTGTAGTCTATTTCCTACTAAGTATAAACGAGTACAGGGTCAGAAGGCTGTAAACAAGCCAGCCAGCTCAACAGTACCAAGAACGGGGCTGGAGAGAAGTTGAAATAGATAGCACAATAATTTCTCTACTAGAGACTGAGCTGTTACAACCTGCACTAAAGATATCAAGCCAGCAGCAGATATGTTAGTGATTTGATAAGCCTCTTCTACATACCAGCTAGAGTTTTAAAGCAGTAGTTAGTTTGTTAATATTTGATTAATATTTGATTCTTACATATTTTTCACTGCTTTCCAGAGACTACTATGTTTTGTCATGGTGAAAATTATTTCTAAAATATATCTTGAATTCAGTGATTACATATTTATAGAAAAATTGATTGATGTACTGGTATATAACTCTTTAGAAACTCATTCATCATATAAGTGAGGAATACACATACTAAATAAATATATGAAAATATAAACTTAAAAAGCCGAAAAATTGCCATTTGTTTTTATTACAAAAGCATTTTTCACATAAAAAAATCAATTTGCCATCAAGTTGAGGCCTCCTAGATATCGAGAATTCCCCCCAGTTCATTTAAAAATTGATTTGGTCCACAAAAATTCAATCCACTCACGCATAAACTTTTCGGGGAAATAATTGATGGTATACAGTTATATATAATACTAAAAGCATAACATGCTAATTAGACCAGACAGCGGAATTACCTTCTGGATATCATTCCGGATATCCTCTAGACAAAGCCACTGTGGTGGAGGGCCGAGGCAGAGGCAGTTAGGGGTGATCAGGCAGGCAAGCACTTAGAGGTGGTAAGGCAGGCAGGCAGGTGAGCGGTTAGGAACCAGTGGTCCTAGATTACGAGAGGGTGCAGGCTGGGCTGAGGGGCCCTGCACACCCATGCACAAACTTCGGGCACAGCGCCTCCAGTTGAATATAAACATCTATGTGGGTATAAGAAATTTTCGGAAGTCACTTACGAATTCTTCTTTTCATGGAGGTTTGTTTCCTGTAACAAAGTTGTCATTAGTACCAAACTTTCACTGGAGTGAAGTCTTTGTAATGTGATGCTGCCTAGTTGCTGCATGGTATATGGATCTTACAGTTTAGTAAAAAATAGAGACAGTAAATAAGTTTTTTATGCTGTGGAGGACCAATGAGAGGGCTCATGAAGGAATTATATGATTGAATAAAGATGTCATATATATATATATATATATATATATATATATATATATATATATGAATACTACTCAGCCATAAGAAAAAACTAAATATTGCCATTTGCAGTAACATATATGGAACTTGAGAATATCATCCTAAGTGAAATAAGTCAGATGGAAAAGTCAAAACCCATATGATCTCACTCATAAGTGGGATATAAAACTGAAAGCAACAATCAGAAAACAAAACAAAAAAACTCATAGGCACAGACAACAATATGGTGGTTACCAGAGGGAAAAGGGGCTGGGGCGGGGGGGGGGGAGTAGAAAATGATAAGGGGAATAAAATATATGGTGACAGAAGGGACTTGACTTTAGGTGGTGACCACACAATGCAATATACGGATGATGTATCATAGAATTGTACACTTGAAACCTATATAATCTTATTAATCAATGTCCTTTTTTAAAAATATATATATATTATTTATTTTCCACAGAGAGGAAAGGAGAGGGATAGAGAGCTAGAAATGTTGATGAGAGAGAAACATCAACCAGCTGCCTCCTGCACACCCCCTACTGGGGATGTGCCCACAACCAATGTACATGCCCTTGACCGGAATCGAACCTGGGACCTTATAGTCCGCTCTATCCACTGAGCCAAACCGGTTCTGGCTAATCAATGTCCTTTTAAAATAGACAATTATAATCAGTACCTATAATTTTGTTACAAAACCATCACACAAAGAATGCATTGTCATTAAAAGCAGAGAGAAATATGAACCAATAGTAACATTTGCAAGTGAATTTGTAATGCAGAGATTGAATGTTAAAGAAATTCCCTTCAAGTGATTTCTGTTTGTCCTGTGAATAGGGAATAAGGTCTCTATCCAGCCTGATGATGAGGCAATGAATTGGGAAGGTTGTGGAGAAAGGAGAGAGGAAGTGGGTACTGTGGAGAATGCAAAAAAGCTAACTAAAGACATATGAAATGCAATGTTGGAGATACAGCTTAATTTTGAGACTACAAATTTATAGAGATACCAATTTAGACAGGTCTGTAACTTTCTTAGGCCTTACATAAAGGGGAGAAGTGCAACCTTTAGATTGATTTAGCTTTAGAGTATATTCAGGCTTATAGAGCTGAGAAACAAGGGAGTAGGAACTTTGGGTGGCTGGCAAAGGAGTTGAACTGATGACCCTGTGGTCTAGGTTGGATATGAAAATAAGAGGAAAATTAGAGAACAAAATGAACTATAAAGAGTCTTTAAATGGTCAAAGAAAGAACCGAAGAGATAGAATAAGATTTGAAGTTGAAGTGATAAAATAAGATTTTTTAAGAGCTAGAAGGTTAAAGAACGGGACCCAGAGTATAGAATTTTGGAATAATTCTGGGTAAATACAAAATGTAGGGTTTTATATGGATGTGAGTGGCTTAAACATAATGATGGAGTTGAGACAGAAATAGCAAGGAACTATCAAGCTAAGGTGTTGGCGGAATCTTTACAATGACATTGAAGTCAATCCATGTGAGGCCAGCACTTAGGGAAAGGAATGTAGGCAGGGGCCTGTGGCAGTGACAGGGCTGTAAGAGGATGTTTTAACCTAATGGAATACATGTCAAAGGGGCAGGGAGGAGTACTGGATGGGGTATTCTTCCTCAACCACATGTTATCCTACGTGGGCCATATGGGGCACTGGAGCATGGGCATTCTCTTCTCAAAAGGACTGTGGGGGAAGTTATGCATCTGGGAAAGAACCAGCTGAGGCTAGGACAGAGGAAGCTGATTATGTAAGTGGAGATTGAGTGCGTAGTAGAAGGAATTGGTGAACATGGAACAAGACACCCAACGGTTAGCTAAAGCTCTGGTAGAATGAGGTGGAAAGTTAGGTGTGGTGGAAGAATTATACAATAATATTAGAACCAGAGATCAAAACTGCACTAATGACTAAATAAAAACCAGAAATGGAAAGACATGATTTAGATTATCTCAATTTCTCTAGAAGGAACAATCTACTGGATATTATAAATTATATTAATATTTCTTCTGTAACCCAGCCCAGGGTGGTGGTCAGTCATACTAAATCAACCCTGTAGAATAAATATATACGCCATTTACTGGGAATGGAATGCTCCAGTAAATGTTACCTAATTTTTCTGCACACAAAATTGGCCTGTTTTTCTAATGTGTTAAACTCATTTATAAGCATGCTGTAAAAAATTCCACCAAAATTTCAAATAATGTAATATTGTAGAATCTGCTGATTCTATTTAAGTGGATTGGTAGAGTCCAGAGGTAGTTGATAAATCCTTGTCATTTTCATTTTTATATATGATATTAGGATTTTTTTCTAACTTAAAACCCCCCAGAAATATAGGATTGTATAGCCGAATCTAGTATATATCACATGTCTATTAACTGTTGCCACCTTCTCAAACCACTGAAAGTGAATTTGATTTTAATAAACTGGATAGTGGAGATTTAATTCTTTGAATTATATAGGCATCAGTATATTCTTGAACTACTGAAACATTCAGAATTGGTTCCACTTTGGTTGATTAATATTGGGTGTATGTTCCAAAGCATATTTGGTTTTTATTCAAATTACATTATAAATTTTTTTGTATAGAAACTTGTGCTTGAATAAAATATTTTGTTTTAAATGAGTGTGGATAGGTTGTTTTAATCAAACTTAATTTTTAATAAAATATTTTTTTTCAAAAAAGTTTATAAAGGTGGTTTTAGTTTAAGCCAAGGGTCAATAAACTTTTTCTTAAAGAGCGAGAGAATAAACATTTTAGGTTTTTTGGGCCACTGTGTAACTACTGAACTCCACCACTGCTGTGCAAAAGTGAGTGTGGTCTTAGAATCGTTGTGTTTCAGTAAAACTTTATTTATAAAAATAAGCAGTGAGCTTGATCTTGGTTTAAGCTATAAAAACTCAGAACGGGTCAACTAAGAGGTCTCCATGTTATCAAATCAAACACAGTAAAGCTAATGACAATAATATTGTAGTTACCAATTTTTTTTGGACCTTCTATTATTTTGCTAAGTGCTTTAAAGAAATGCATTATCTTATTTAGTCCTCAAAATGGTTTTAATAACAGCAGTTCAAGTTTATGGACTATAATGATACAGTACTTAAGGCAATAATATTTTAGAAAGTTTCTTTTTAAAATAGATCACAAAAAGCCATGAGATTTTAGGAAATAATTTCTTGAGCTCCCACATTGTATTCTAGAATAAATTATTTTGAAAATGCAAAATAAAGCACTTAACCTATTAATAGTCAACTTGCAGTATATTTTTTAAGAAATCCTTTAGGCATAAATAAAGCCTCTTGGCTTCTGTTGAGAAACTGG